CCACTTTTCTCCAGAGCTCACCTCATTTCTGGGCAAGGGATAGAGCTTGTATCGACCGTACCCTTTGCCCTGAAGGGTCCCAGCGCACTTCACAAGTGCTACGTGTGCATACAGAGAACCATATTTATACCAGGGTGCGGTGGGGACAAGCCATGTACCACACAGGCAAACCATGAAACACTGCATTTATCATGCACCACTGTGTCTCCAAATCCAATGCCGCCAGGATTCATATGGCCATCCCCGAACCCTCAGCAACTTGTGAGTCCCGGCCTGCAACTCCCTCACTGATTTATAAGGGGAGGCAGCACTTACTTCCAGCTCTGGCTATTTGCAAGATTTGAGAGCTTCAAACTACAACAGGAGTTACTCTGGATTAGTCTGAGAGAGCGCTAAAAAAATATCCTCTCGCCAAGGCCTGTGCACAGTTTGACCCATGGTAAAGCCGAATGCCTTAGTACAGAAGGAAGGAAACGTAAAAGAAGGGCCAATAACTTGTGTCTCAAGTCATTCTCTGTACAACATGGCTTGTAAGTACCGTGGCAGGAGATGTAAGGATCATTGTGATACAAGAGCACCTACCAGGACAGCATCTTCCTGTATAGGGGCCACGTCAGCACTTTGTTGTTAGGTGCAGGAAACACCCGAGTGATAGATAGTGTTGGTCTAGGTAAACTATCCGTCCCTCTAAGAGCGGGAGCTACCGTATTCCCTTTATGATCAGATACTGAGGCAGGGTTTTTCCAGCACAATGCTCATAATGGAGTTCATTAAAGGAACTGGGAACAAAAATTAAAAAAAGGCTTAAATCTTACTTCTGGTTTTATATTTTTCACAGGAAGTGGGTAGAAGGAACTGTCCCTTGTGACATGAAGCACTTTATCTTCACTATAATCATCTCTAACAGCCACTGCAGAAGTGCACCCCCCTCATTCACACCTTTGGAAATTGAGATCGGTTTTCTCTCTGTGCCTTCCAGACTCAGCAACTTCCTCTCTCTTTCAGACTCCTCGTTTCTCAGGCGGTTCAAAATCTCCTCCAGTGTTCTGACGATGTCGGCAAATGAAGGACGCAACTTTGGGTCCATCTGCGAATGTATGCAAAAGCCAAATAAAACAAGTAGCCTCCTCTAAGCCATCCTGCCTATGAGATGTGTAGATAAAGGGACAATTTTCAGGAATTTAGGATATTCAGATTATTTTGGGGTTGGGGACGTGTTTTAGGAAGTGCAATACAAGTCCATGCCCAGTGCAAACTGCGCAAGAATAAGTGGGAAACCCAGCACGTATTCATCAAAGCCTCTGTCCATTTGTAAATCTCAGCTTAGTTGTACTGAAGACTTCATAATTAGCTGAGAGGTCTCAGGTTTCTTATGTAGCAGACACAGTCTGCAGCGTAATTAAACTACCTAAGGGGGAGTGCTGTGTTTTTATTTGTATAGGGAATATCACAGTGCAAGAATCTAATTTCTGGACCCCAGTAACTGCCAAATAATTACGAGTCCATCTGGAGTGCCTGGACCAGTACAAATGCTAACAGATCTGTCTGTTCATGCCATTATTTAAGAAGGTTTTACATTTTTCCTTGACCGACCAATGCCTGTTATGGAAAGCTCCCCAGGCAGCCTAGCTGATCAGACAAGAATCTGACACCTTGAAATATTATTGACTTCCACTTCGTTCATTTCCACCTAATACCAAGAGTTTTGGTCCTGGATCTCTACTACAGAATTCCTGCAGCAGACAAGAAGCGAGACTGTGCATGGGTAGATAAAGTCAATGCACTGTGAAAAGCATCTGACAGTACCACCAATGAGCCAACAAAAATCAGTTGCCTAGTAGAAACAGGTCTCTAGATAAAAGTTAAACCAAACTACATGGGAAACCATGGTGACCCTTTCAAGTGGCCACTACGAATGAGGGGGAGGAGAGTTGCCTCCTAGGTGATGGGCCTCCAGCACAAGGGTGGCCAACCCATTAAATGAAGAGAACCGAAACAGCGGTGGGAAAAAAAATGCGAAGAACCACTCCAGAATTGTTGAGAAAAAAAAAAGGAAGCTCTGCCCCTTTAAAAACCATGGGTTAGGTTATGTGGTCACATCAGGCTCCCGATGGCTGTTGCCATCTTGCTGCGCTGCTGAGCACAGGGAGCCAGGGGCCATTTGTAGGGGCGCATGGGGTGGCTTTGCAAGCCGCCGGGGGGGCGCTTCGGGGCAGCTTCGCAAGCAACACTTTCAGGGCTGCTCCAGCAGATCCCCCACCCCCACAACACAATGCTCAGAAGGCAGCAGGGCTTTGTAAAAGGTTTTGAAGGGCTTCCCCAAAACTGCCCTGCAGATCCTAGGAGATAGAACAGACTCAGGAGAATGAAAATCACTGGCCATGGATGCAACATGAGGCTGAAAATCCACTGTGGCTGCTTAAAACAGCACCAGAGGGCAGCCGGGTATTTCTGACAGGCTAAGATCTGGGTGGCATAAAGCCAGCATAGCCAGCTCTGTGCTTTGGCGAGCCTTATCCATGTAACGGATCCGAGGGAGCACTGCAAGCGGTAAGAAATCAGAACAGCTCTTAGGCTAGGGTCTGCGAGGGGTAAAGGGAACGGAAAGGAAGTTTCCAAGAGATACCTCTGCCTCTTCCCTCAGCTGCTCTAAGTTCTGCTCTGGAGCAACTGAGGATCAGGGTTGCCAGGTGTCCACTTTTCACCTGGACTGTCTGTTATTTGGGTCCCCCATCCAGTAAAAAAAACCCAGAAAATACCAGACATGTGAAATATCCAATATTGCCTGTTGCCCTCGGACGGAAGCCCAGCAGGGACAATTTTCCCCTGCCGTGTCTGGCGGGGGAGAGAGGAGCATGGGGCCATTTAAAGGCGCTGTGCCCGTTTTTTGGCTCAACAACTTTGGTGTCCCCCTTTCCCTCCCCCAACAGAATTTTCCACGGTGTTTCTTTTGGGGGGAGGGAGGAGTGTTTTCGGTATTTTTTGTAAAGCCATCTGGCAACCCTACTGAGGATTCAGCCATCGAGACTGCCGCTCTCACAGCCCACCTTGCATACCCATGGAACTTTCTGCACATGGAACATGGTTTTGCTTGTAAGCTTGTGTGTGGCGTGATTTCTAGCTGCAGCAGGGACCTTTATCTTGGATTTCCTGGCTTGGCCATGTTTAACACTCAACCATAATGATGAATTACAGTTTTTTTAATTCCCTGAACTTGGATTTGTTTTTACTGCTCTGTGTCTTTAAATGGTGTCACTTGCTGCAGGAAACACCACGTCCCTGCATATTTATGGTGCAGCTAATTATGCTGAGCCACACAGTTTCCATTACTGTTTGCTGACTTGGGAAATAATAAGAACATGACATAGGCCTGCCTCCAGCTGCAGTGCAGACCTGGAGGTAGAGCTCACACCAACAAGATCACTCACTAGCAAAGCACAAAGTGTGTAAAGATACAAGCAAACCTTATCTGGGTTCCCTTTCACCAAGTAGATTTGCTGAATGAATTACAACATGCTTACAGGGAAAGGAATTTTGTTAATGATTAAATCCGTGGGCCAATGGTTCCCATGTACCTTCCGGGGCTGCAGTAGGTCCACTGTCACATTCAGGGAAGGAACATTTAACTGGGGAGCGCATTTGGTACTAGCCACCATGTAACAATTCTCCCTCTGCAAATACAGCTAATTCTCACACAAGAGAAAGGAAACACTTCTCAGAGTAAAGCTTCGCTCACTACGAATTTCATCAGAGTGCAGGGAAAGTGCTTTTAATCATGCCCCATGGTCTAACTGGCTAAGCCCAACACTGGGGGAACCCCAGCTCTAATAAAACGACTTAGCCCTCGCTGCATGGTGCACCTCAACTGTCCAAAGCACTTAATAAACACTAATCGATCCTCGCAACACCGGATGAAGTGTTCTCATCATTGAATCAATGGGGAACCCAAGGCAGGGAGGCGCAGGGACCTGCCTGTCGTCACAGGGTAAAGCATCACTAGCAGCTGCGAGAACAGAATCTAGGGGAGCCCAACTCCCTTCCCCCGTCAATTCCCCTAGACCAGGCTGCTTTTGGCTCTGGCACTAACTTGTTCTGTGTCTTAACACAGCTTGCTTAAGGCAGTGCTGCCCAAGTGGCCTCTATGTTTGGATGTGCAGCTTGATGCTGTTGGGAGCTGATTATCAAAGCCGCAGAGGGCCCATATCGTCAATGGAAATCATTAGCAGCACCCCCCATTTCCAACTCAATTCATGCAGGAGCACAGAGCCTCAGAAGCATTCCTAAAATCTACGGTAAGCTGGCACCAATGAGAGCGCCACAAGGGGAGGCTATTGACCTTGCACAGTAGGCAGCTGGATTTTGAGATGCATGCGCCCATGCGTGTCTGTGCACTCGGGATCAGAGATAATCATCAGCAGAGTTGGCAGGTCTATGCCTGCACCCTAGATACCCTGGTACCGGAGTATGTAAAGAAGGGTCAGGCCTGCTGCCACTAGTTCCTTCTCCACCATGAAAATCCAGCGACAGACTTCGAGGCAGAGGTGCGTGGGCCAGCACATTCAAAGCTCTCCAGGGACTGTCCCAAGTCACCTCTTCTCGGAGGTGTGTCCCTACGGGCGGGTGGCTCCACACCAGGAGATTCCTGAGCAGTCTCTCATCCAAGGAGATAAAGAAGGGTCAGGCCTGCTGCCACTAGTTCCTTCTCCACCATGAAAATCCAGCGACAGACTTCGAGGCAGAGGTGCGTGGGCCAGCACATTCAAAGCTCTCCAGGGACTGTCCCAAGTCACCTCTTCTCGGAGGTGTGTCCCTACGGGCGGGTGGCTCCACACCAGGAGATTCCTGAGCAGTCTCTCATCCAAGGAGATGGATCATGGGCACTGGAAGAAGGCATGAAAGCACAGTGCAGGGAAACCCATGCACCAGATGGCTGGCCTGCAGAGGTCTCAGAGATGTTTGTCAGTAGGGCTACAAGTGTAGACTGAGTCCTGGTGGAACAAGCATGGTGGAACAAGGCTTCATAACAGATTAAGAGGCATCCTGCAAGCCAGTCAGATGGCCTTTGGGTGGAAACCGTCTACCCTTTCATTCCTTCTGCAACCAAGATGAAACACCTCAGTGACTAAGGCCTCATCCTGTCTAGGCAAAAGGCAAGAGCTCTGGTTTGTTCTGTGTATGGAGGTTCATTTCTTCTCTCCACAAGGGAGATTTGGCATAAAAACGCTCGTGTGTGGAATTCCAAAGGGTTTTTAGGTAGGAAGTGCGGGTCTGGGCAAAGTGTCACCTTCTCACACGAAAACAAATGTCCAGTGGGGCAGCCATTAGGGCTCCAAGCTGCCTTCTCTCCTGGCCAAGGTGATGGCTATGAAGAGTGAAGTTTTAAGGGGCAAACAGAAGACAAAACAGGTTCCTCCCCACCCCAGGTTTAAATGAGGGTTTCATCAGTGCTCTGAGGAGTAAGTTGAGGTCTTTGCTCCTTACTAGGACAGACTAGGTTAAAGAGGCCTTGGTTAAACCTTGTAATGATCAGGGGGGTAAAGACCGAAAACCCTTAGAGGGAAAAGGGGGTGAAAAGCTGTGATGGCCACGAGGTGACCCTTAATGGAGCTCAGCAATTAACCTTGGATTTTAAATCCTGCACATAATGGACATCGTGTGTCAGGACCTCGGCAGAGATCCGAAATGGTGGCTGCATCTAGTCTGGAAGCACTCACGCTTCTGGAGGCTTTTCTAGCTTTAAGCAGCAGTGTCTGTGGCTCTGGCAAGCAGCGTGTTCAATAGCAGGGAGCCAGATAATAGCCATACCTGAGGTGGAGCATGTCCTGACTCCCAGTCAAGGAGGTTTGGTCTCGGGAAGATGGAGAAGGGATTACGACACACAGACATGAACCAGCTCTGGGAACCCCACCTGTCTCCACCGGGACAGCGCAAAGAGGATGGACACTCATTTTTCTGGTTTCATTGGTTCATGAGCTTGAGCAGGAAAGGTGCGAGAAGGTCAGTATACAGCAGTGTCAGGCCAAGAGACGACTAGAGCATCTGTCAAGTTGTGGCCATGCACTCCCCTCGCCTGCACTTTGGGCAGGATGGTGTGTCTCAAAGATCTCTGTCCGGATGACCCAGGCAAGACATCTCTCCCAGGCTGCCTTGCTCAGTCCCTGCTCCTGGTTAGTAAGGAAATCCACCATTGTGCGTTGTGCTCCTGGTAGATAAACTGCTGAGATCTTCTGGGTGGTGCACCAGGCACCAGATCCACTGGGGTGTGTCTCCTCCTCAATCCAGGGGTGCTCCGTTGTCCAGCCACATTCAGAAGAGGCGGCGCCTGATGTGGGGTGGGAAGGACTGGCAAGTGGATGTGACCAACTGCCTTCTGCTTGGGGAAGTTCTGGGAGGGTGCCAGACGTGAGAGGTGCCAGTACGGAAATGGCTTTTTGTCTACACAGCCGACATTAAGTGACTCCAACACTGGAAGAGAGCTCTCCCAGCTCTAATAAAACCACCTCTGCACGGGGAATGGCTCCCAGTGCCACCCGCCCCCCCAGCCCAATCCAAGATGTGACCAACTGCCTTCTGCTTGGGGAAGTTCTGGGAGGGTGCCAGACGTGAGAGGTGCCAGTACGGAAATGGCTTTTTGTCTACACAGCCGACATTAAGTGACTCCAACACTGGAAGAGAGCTCTCCCAGCTCTAATAAAACCACCTCTGCACGGGGAATGGCTCCCAGTGCCACCCGCCCCCCCAGCCCAATCCAAGCCAAGGAGAGCTGCACTAGCAGCTGTGGGAATCCATGGCCGACCCTCCTGCCATAGGCAAGGAGCCCAAACAGCCCTCCCCCCCACACCCAGGGCTGGTGGAGAGACCTAGGCTCCTCACAGCTGCCGGAGCAGCTCCCCCTGACTCAGCTCTTGCAGGGGGCAGCCTGGAATCAGCACCCGATTACGGTGGTAACCACAGAATGTCAGGTACACTGCGCGAGGCCCGGAAGGACACCTTGAAAGCCAGGGAGCTGGGCATGCAAGGAGGGGAGAAGACTCCAAGCTGCTGGGTGGGACACAGCTCACTGACACACAGGGGGCACAGCAGTGCCTTTGTAACCTGAGCAGGACACGAGTCCGTCCCAGATGCAGAGGTAGCCTGAGTGTCTACTGCTGGGGAGGGAACACAGTTTAGCAGGTTTTGAAGCTCGGGGTCTTGGCATAACCCGCATTCCAGGCCACAGATCAAGGCCCGAAGGGGGAAAAAAGCCCAGATCAGGCAAGTGAAGAGGGGAAGGGGAACACCTCCCTCTCAAAAGCACAAAATGTGCTAAACAACAGAACTCAGAGAAAATACCGAAGGAAGGAAAAGATGAACTGAGAATGGTAGCAAGCTGCATAGCTAGCTAAGGACACCGCAGCGCTCCATCTCGTGCTGCAAGTGGCTGAGCAGAACTGGAATTGCAGCAGGTCCATCCCCTCCCTGCTTCCCCTCAGACTGGACCACAAGGACGTCTAGAGCGCAGGCCTGGACCAGCGGATATTGCTGGCAAGGTCTCCAAGCAGGAGTGCACATGCATGCACACCCGGACATGGAACACGTGTCGGGACGTTAGAGAAGTTTTAAAGGTCACTTTTGAAAATCTGGCGCTTCATCTCTGTGCTTAATTTTTCTAGCTGTAAAAACTGGAGAGTGGAACGTAAACATCGGTCAATGTCTCTGAAGTGCTTTGGAAACGTGTAGTGGCACCTCGCAGCTAAGTGTTGTTACAGCAGCTGGCTGAAAGCTTGGTGCACGGTGTTCCTCTCCCCACCATCCCCCTAAATCAATTCAGTTAGGGTACAAAATAATGGGCGCGCATATGTCGGTATCCCTGTAACCTTTGTTCCTTGAGTGTTAAGGTCTTGTAGACGCACCGAATTTCAAAATAAGCTATTTCAAAATAGAATCGAACTAAGATAAGCAAATTGCACAGCGCAAATTGCACATCTTATTTTGATATTAGGGTGCTGTGTAGACGTACCCGTAGAGAGCTGCTCTCATCAGGGTTTTATCATCTGTTCTCTTCCCACCATAGGCCAGAAAGAAACGTGAAGAGATTTCAGTGCAGTCTCACTGCTTTTTTCCTGCCTTCTTTAGGGCAAGACATCCGAGAATTAATTGCTAATAAATCCATGTGTCTTATGCACTATGGTGGCTGGATTCTAAGGGGTTCGTTAGCCTAGAAACGCTAGTAAAGCACAAGTGGTTTTGACCACGTGGGCAGTCGACTAGGGACTGCTCAGCATGCCCGCTCTACAGGCTCAGGAAGCTGGGTGAATACAAGACTGTAGTTTGTTTAAAAAAAAAAAAAAAAAAACAGTTCTGGATTTTGAAGGGCACCAGCTCTGCTCTTCCTCTTCGAGCAGGGTACTTACATTACAGCAGTTGAAGGTCAGCTGGAGAAAGTCAGGTGGACAATCTCCCACCATGTGCTGAAAGGCATCATAATCTAATCCAAAATTCTGCAGAAACAGAAAGAATAAAAAGAGTGGTCCTGATGCATATCTCCCCTCTATGTGACCCAATCATCTTCATTTCACAGGCTGCTACACAGAGTTATCAGAAATAACCATTAACACCACCCCTGCGAGCAGCCACAGAGAAAGGAGCATTGGTGAGAAAACCTCATGTATTGCAATGGGTAGATTAAATTTCCCCTGGGAATTATCTGGTAGAAGAAGCTTTCAGGAGAATAATTTGACTTCAAAGCCATTATTTTTAAGAACATCAGAACGGCCAGACTGGGACAGACCAAAGGTCCATCTAGCCCAGTGTCCTGTCTGCTGACAATGACCAATGCCAGATGCCCCAGAGGAAGTGAACAGAAACAGGTAACCATCAAGCGATTCCTCTCCTGTCATCCATTTCCAGCCTCTGACAGACAGGCTAGGGACACCATTCCTACTCATCTTGGCTAATAAGTATTGATGGACCTAGCCTCCATGAATTTATCTTCCTGAACAAAGTCATAATTCCCATCTAGTATGCAATTTCTGCACAATTTGAATGTGTAACTGAATAGCTCTCAACTAAAGCAATAAAGCAAGAAAGGATTACGTGGAGACCCACTTGACAGACTGTGCCTCTACGATCACTACTTTTGTAAGACTATGATAAATTGTGTACAAAATATGCCTTATAAAGTACCATTTAAAAACTTATAACCTACTGAACATTATTGTTCTAGTAAAATTTGTCTAGCAGCATTGTATGAAAATTGTAAGATTTTACTGAATATCATTGCCGCAACATGTTCCAAGGTTAGAAAAGCAGCTCAAACAAATTCCTCAGAGACAAAAAGCTGGTCAGCACCTCAGTCAGGTGCCAGCATAATTAAACAGACAATTACCTGGGAAAATGGCAATTCTATGAACAAGAAATTTACATTTTGCCATGAAACAGCTGGGGGCTCCTGTGTGACAGACTGTTGCCTGTACCTCAGCTGGAGGAAATCCTCAAAGAGGAGAGAAAAGTAAAAGAATACAGGACAGTCAACATGTCGCCTTTCTCCTGCATTTCTCTTTCTTCATGGAAACAACAATGCTCGAAGAAACTGAACAGGTTGAAGGTCCTGGCTAGGAGACTTTCAGCCAGCAAAGACTCATGAGGTGAGAAAAGCCTTTGCTTTGAATATACTTAACTTGCTAAATTAGGTGTTAGTTTGCATTTCTTTGTAGCCAATTCTGAATTTTATGCCTCATTTTAATAATTTAAAATCTCTTTCTGTAGTTAGTAAATTTGTCTTGTTTTATCCAAACCACTGTCTCTTTGAAGTATTTGGGAACCTCCTTTTGGGATAACACGATTTGTGCACATCATCTTCTATTGTTGAAATAACAGACTTTCTACGCGCTTGTACTGCACACAACGAAAGAGCTGAGCAGTACACAGCAAACACATTTTTGGGGACAAGCCTGGGACTAGGAATTCACTGGTGTTGCCCTGCAATGTAACTCATGAGTGGTTAGACAGACCACTCATACTACTCATCTGGGAGGGATTTTGCACACAAGGGGCTGTGAGAGCAGGAGCAGGAGCACTTGTTCTCACAATGAAGCCATGTAAAAGACGCTCCAGGCTGGAGATCTGAGGATACACAGATGTCCATCTGTCCAGGTTGCACCCGAGGGAATGTCACGCCATGATTCATTTGTGACTGGTTGAATGGTTTCAATCAATACTAAAAATGTGACTTAACAGATCCCTCAACATCCAATGAAAACTCCAGGGATCCAGAAGAATGCCCTTTGACAGTGATCTGAGCACAAGCTGCTAACTAATCGGTCTCTCTTACTGCAGGGAAAAGAAGAAGACAGGAGGGAAGCAGGGAAGAGCAAGAATGCAAGTTGTGGGCACAGGATGGAGAAGAGGAAATAAACAAAGGTAAGAAGGAGAAAAACCCCAGCCATAACAGGGGCAATTAAGACAATAGGACATGGAGCCTGGAGATGAGAACAAAAAGGGAGGAAAGTGAAGAGAAAACTAACAGACAAATGAAAGAAAGTTAAGAAAAGAACAGGAAGCGTTTACAGACTGGAAAAGTCTGGCTGGGGGACACCGTGCAGGCAGAGTGAATGAGGGTCAGAAACAACTGCCAAAACCTGAAAGCTGATCAGGGAAGAGAATTAACCCTGTTTAAAATGTTTTGAATCACGTCTATGGGTTTAAAGTTAAGATTATTGGCTTCGTGTAGTTCCAGTGAGGCAATATTTAAAATTAAACACGCTACTTTTCAGAGTTGGCCCTCCCTCTGACAGCTTTGCAGTGCATTTTTTATACAAGGTGATTTTATGGCACATGGAAAGAGAATGGTGCTGTCTAGACTAATACAAAGGAATTTTTCATATGCAATAGTCATGTGGTTCTGCAAGCTCTATCATGTATAATTACAATGTTTGCCCATCCATTTATTCAAACCGTGTAAATGAATTGCATATTTAGTCTGTGAAGAAACAGGAAACTTTATTTTCATCACAGCCAACTGACAAAATGGTCAACTTTGCAATGTTTTGCTCTGGAACTACTTGTAAAATCATCAGGTCCCTTAAAAACACTCCCAACAAGGTCTCCAGTTCTGAAGGCAGACCCTGTACTTCACAGCATCTTAAGTTCTGAGCAGTGGTCAATTTTTCTGAACTAGAGAAGTGGGAGGGTTAGTCACAACTGTCCAAAGGTGACTAAGAACTACCTAACATACAGAGCCTGACCCAAAGCCAATAATGTCAATGGGAGCATTTGCACTGACTCCAAAGGATTCTGGATCAGGTTCATAGTTCTTAATACAGATAAAGCTAAAATAGGGATTGGGTCAAATTGTGATCCACAGCCTCGTTAATAAAACAGGAGCATCCCACAGAGAATGCTGGTCCCAGCATGCAGCATTCCAGCGTAATCCAGGATGGAGTGTTGTTTGCTGCAACTAGCATCCTCTTCAATCTGCCCCTCTGTATTACACAGGACCTGGCTGCCATCTGTCCCATGTTATGCCAATTAGGTGCAGCTCTTGGGCTTCTGGCAAGTTTCCAATGCAGTCTGCAGTTGGCGGAAGATTGAGTAACCCTGTGCTAAAAATGTGGTCTCAGTGCCATTCTTTTGTGAGCAGCTCTGCCAAAGGACAGATGATTTGTTAGAGGCCCCTGAACGGTAACAGCCATTCATCATGTCTTTGGAAGCAACGTGGCAATTATTAATGACCATTCCCCACCTCCCACAGCCCTTACACACACTCCCCACTTACCTCTGTGCGGGGGAGATAGTCCGGATCTGCCTGTATCCTGGCTATAATCTCACAGAGAATTATACCGTAGGAGAACACATCCGCCTGAGAGAAGGGAAAATAACCACATAGCTCATTATGGACACTAAGCTTTCTTATCTGCCAGTAGGTTTCTCCTGACCACAGGGTGTTTTTCAAAGGCTGACCAGAGCAGCCAGCCACCAGCAGAGCCTCACGATTGATAACCGACAGGAATATTTCCTGCATTTTCGTGTTGTGGAAACATGTTCCCAGTGCTGCTATTGCACCATGGCCAACAACAAAATTCCTTCACTGAGTGTAAAATGTGACTTCAGTCACTGCTGCCCTGGCAGCGTCCAGACAAGTGAAACTCTGCTCTCCTTTCACAATGCACTGTTCTGTCACAAGACAGGCTCATTTATCACTTGCTCACAGGGAGTCCAAGTTTCACAGATTCTTGCCAGCTGCTGTTTGCTCAAATTATAAACCTTGAGCAAACATGGAAGCCAGGTCTACAGAGCAGTAGCAAGGGGCCACCCCGTTCAGGATCAGCACGCACATGCCCCTGCCCAGATCTACACTACACATTTACGTTGCTCAGGGGCATGAAAAAGCCACACCCCCGAGTGCTGCCATTAAGCTGGCTTAACCCCCAGTGTAGGCAGCACTATGTCAACAGGAGGGCTTCTGCTCTCAACTTCATTACCACCTCGCAGCAGCTGCTGATGGAAGCAGGTCTTCTGTTTGCATGGGTAGCGCCTTCACTCTGCGCTCTAGCTGCACTGGTGGGAAAGCTAACTTACAATTGCTTCCCCGTTAGCACTTTTTGCCCCAAAGAGATCAGGTGAAGTGGCCTTCTTAGGCTATGCCTACGCTTCTGCATACACCGGCAAAACTCACGTAGTTCAAGGTTTGAATATTCCACACCCCGTGTGACATAAGCGACACTGATACAAGCATTCATGCGCTTCTCCCACCAACATAACCTTAGCGAGTGGCTGGCAGCTTTTTTCTTTTATCAATGACAGCATCTGGTGACCGTGTGTCTTCACCAGATGCACTACAGCACCGCAGCTGCATCAGTCCAGGTGTGCTGCTGCAGCCATGTAGACACTTGGCCCACATTAGAAACAATGCAGCCAAATACTAGTTAAAGAACTGGAAGTTTGACAGTACTTTGACGTGCTAATATCTGTGCCGCTGCTTCAGTTCTCAAACTGGGAGAAGGTGGGAGGACACAAGGCCCAGTGGTGTTGAATGCTGGTCGGGCGTGGACTTTACCACAGAGTGGTGTTCCGGGGAGGGAAAACAGCTAACAGGAATCTCTACAATGCCAAGTGGATAAAGCTGTACTAAGCAAAACTTGACTGAAAATATTGTTTTCTAGACCTCAGCCACTTCTTCTTCACTGATCTCCTTTGACAGAGCCATTTCCCAACGTTTCAAAACAAGGGAACTTACAAACATTTCTCTTATTAGTTTTCTCCCTTGAAGGTAGATCTTTTATTTATCAATTCAAAATCAAATTGCATAAGTACACAAGGACCACTTAATTCTAGGTAGGTTCCTACTGAGCTGTTGTCAGAATTGACACCTTGCTTCAAGCGTAGAAAACATTCTTTTACCCAACTCTGCTAAGGAGAAGTGCAGGAAGTCACCGTGGCAGGATAACTGTACAGTTCTTAATGTTTCCAAACCTCCAAAAGCTGCACTGAAAAGAAACAGCTGCTAATGACACTCATTTAAACATACCCACCTTTTCATTGTAAGGCTCATCTCGGAGAACTTCAGGTGCCATCCAGAAGGGTGACCCTACCACTGGAAGCTTCTCACTTTTCACATTCAAGGTGGAGGAGTGAAGAAGGGGGAGACAGAGAGAATGTTCAGAAAATTCAATGTTAAAACATTTCGTGAGCAGCTTTCAGCATACAAAAAATAGTGCAAGTGGTTCCCATAGCATTCATGTTGGATTCTGCTGTTTGACACACAGAAAGGACCTGAGAATCTAGGGACAGTTTCTGAAATAGCAGATAGTTTCTGTTGCTATTTGCTGAAACAGCTTTTATTTATTTCATTTTCTGTAAGCTCTAGACTCAATAGCCGGAAGTCTTTGGATGCGCTCAACAGCCAAGCTGTCAGAATAGGTCCTCTGACCTCTGCTGGAGCTCATAGAAATCTTCATTTTCAAGTACATCGTCAAGGAGGGAAAGACTTTTTTCTTGTCCTGTTGCATGACTGGAGGGCTCTCTGGGAGCCATTCTGAAAGATATTCCACCTGGTAAATCTCATCTCTGACAATATGTTGACTGGCTGTCAAGATTTAGGAAGTTTCTGCTCACCAGTCAGAAAGAAGTCAGTCTGGTCTGAGGCCCACTGTCACGGTACTGAATTTGAGGGAAGCAGCCAGATTACTGCTGCACCCATAGGTGGGGGTGCTGGCCCCAAAAAATGGTATAAAAGGGGGGCCATGTGGGGTGTTGAATAGGAGCTTACTGTCTGCTGATCCTATGTATGCTGTTCATGTGTTTGTATAATGTCTGTGTGTGCAATTATAAGCATGTACTTGTATGGATACTGAATATTTCCCTGCATGTGGTTGAGCATTGGGCAGGGCCTGGCCTGTGGACATGCTAATTAGCGAGGCCCTGTGGGACAATGGCACTCGATGGGCCAAGGACACACCTAAAGAATCAGGGCTGACACCTGAGAGCTGCCAGCAGGGAACACAGAGATTGGCCGCTGGCCAGGTGACCTGCTGCAGCCAAGAAGAGACCAGGAAGGATGTATAAAGAGGCCATGTGGTCGACGCCATCTTGGTCTTCAGCTCAGCACTTCATCCCAGAGGCAGCACTGCAGGGATTGAAGAGCCCGAAAGACCTGTGGACCCATCCTGATCCTAGGATGCGCAACAAGAACTTTTAAACCAGCAGCTGTAACATCTCTGCTAGAGCCTGCATTGAGAACGGGGAGATTCGATGCATGTAATGTACTATTCCTTTAACAACCTTACTCTCCTGCTTTTCTTTATTGTAATAATAAAGCTTTAGATGTTAGATGCTAAAGGATTGGCCCAGCGTGATTTGTGGGTAAGGTCCAAAGGGTAAATTGACCAGGGATCTGTGGCTGGTTTCTTGGGACTGGACAGAACTTGTTCGGGGTAGGTGGGATTGGGTGCTAAGACCCCACACCTGAGTATGAGGCCCGGGGACATCTGGGGCACGGATATTGCTGGGGTGTCGGAGGGGTTTTGCTCGTGAGGCTTCAGGCAGGCAGCTGAAGCGCCCTGTGGGACTGGTTTGTGGCCTGTTTGGAGAGGTCACCAGTCTGGGGGCTGTAAGGAGCCCCGGATTTGAGCAATTCGCCCTGAGTGGACGCCCTTTGCTGTGCCCAGACACAGCCCGGTCTGTCACACCCACACAATAAATAAGAGCAAAATCCTTAAAATCCTTGCAAATTATTTCAAAAATTTCAAAAACCTCACAAAGTGCAGTTATATGGCAAATCCCCCCGCTGAGCAAAAGCTAGGAGTCGTCGTCAATAGAGGTGATTTTAATTTGTATTGCTCTGATTTACAATACTTCCATGCAGATGGAAACCGCAGTCTTGTCCAGCGATGAACACAAACAGCAGCAGCACAAGCTTGCTGTAATGCTGATTGTGACGAACCACTTCTAACAACTGAGCCTTGGAGGCAAGTGAGATCTACATTCTGTGGCACAGCCTCTGGAGTCGTAGGGCAGAGCAGTCAGCAAATGGGACATTACATGGCTGCATCATTCACATTTGAAAAACTAGAGTTTGAATTAAAAATGAATATTGAAATCCACCCAGTAACTGCTGTGTTAATTATTTTGATACCAAGTTACACGTTGCATTTATTTTAGGCTATTCCTACATTCTTGGTTTTCAGTGCATCTCAAAACAATGTGTGCTGACAGAACATCACTGCACCACCACCTTGAAAAGAGCAAGAGAAGCTTGAAGTCTGGTGATTTGGTAATAGTCTGCTCAGGCTTTTAGCACCTGAAGGAATTGGAGGTAGTGTGTGATTGGGAAATAAACAGAGGATTTTCCCACTGAATTTATCAGCAGTAGAAAAAAAATTAATAGCCTTGACATTTAAACTGCTGTTTATAATATTCCGAGTCAGCACCTGATTGAGATGAATGGGGAGCTTCACAATTCCCTGAGCTATTGTTTTAGATTGTTTGCAGTCTCAGTAAGACAGTACTTGTTCACGTTCATGACGTTTTTCATATAGCCATATAGGCTAGAAGCTATTTGAGTTAAAAGCTTAGATTCGGAGGCATAATTTTTTGGCAAATTCCATGGCCCCAGAATCCTGGGAGACACAGGACTACATACAGATAGGGCAATAGCTCCATCAAATCCTTGGCCTCTATACCAGATGTGTATAAAAACAGGCAAGATGCCAACTGTGATGGTGTTTTGTGAGATTCAGTCCCTTGTTCATTCCTCAAATGCACTGAGATTATCTCATTCCACAACAGGCCAACCCACTATCAGATGGAAATGCTTCTTGGTTACAACCCTGAATTGCAACTACTAGTCCAAGGCGAAGAGAGACTCATGTTGTAATGTTTTTGAACACTGACTGTAAGAAGCAGCTGATTAAAACAGCTGGACTCACTGAAGAGAGCACTCAGACAAATAACCCAGATTCAGAATGATGGGCAGTTCTTTACAAAAAATCCAAATAAAAATTCAACACTTGCTTTGGAGACCTATTGAAATGTCTGGGCAAGCTCTCATCATTGGAACATTGAAAGAAAAAGTGCCACTATCAATCAAAGCTGTGTACTGTAATTAAGAACTTAGAGTGGTTACCCATCTCCATTTAGCTTGTAGCTGCAGACTGAAATCAGAAGAAAACGTAACAACGTGCCCTCGGGCATTCAGCTCCTTAGATCATAGTCATCTTTAGGCAGCACAGTCTTACTCTTGAATGTAATTAGTACTGAAGAATCCACATACCTGTAATCAGGGATTTTCTCAGCTAACCCAAAGTCTCCCACCACTGCAGAGTAACCATTTTCATCGTGCCTTATTAAACAATTCTAAATGTAAAGAGAAAGGAGGAAAGTTTAACATTGTCTGGGTTTAAATTCCACATTGTTTTCAAATTTGCAGCAAGATTTTGAAAGCTTATTTTAAAAGATACTCATTTGTGAAAGACTGTTTTTGTTTGTGCCCAACTATACACCAAAGTCAGGCATTTGCCAGTCAATGATACAAGTGATGTAACCAGCCCTATATTTTGTTAATAATTTCCTCAAATTTGCTGAGGCAACAGACATCCAGGGGCAGCAAGTATCTAGGCTTCAGCAAGAGCTAATATAATTTTGTTCCTATATCAGTAAAATCTGAAATAAACATTAAAATCTGAAATAAACACAAACTCCCTTGCAATTCTCTACAGTGTGTGCCAGGACTTTAACACAAACACCGATTAGTACAGTTTAAAGTACATGAGAAAAGCATGATCTTTAAATATTTTCATGGTTAATTTTGATTAAATTAACCACTTACAACACTGTATTTTAAAAGTACTGGTTGATTTACACTATAAGTTTCCTGTTGAAAATTAGATACAGGAAACTGAATGTGCTAAGTCTCAAATAAAGTCAAATACATAGTCCCATTGCACATTTAAAGGATGTAGTTGGTTGGAAATAACTAATCAGGGACTTAGCATCTTTTCCTTCCTAAAATCCCCATTGAGCAAAACATTTAAGCATCTAGGTATGCTCTATTTGGTGCTTGGTCCTGCTGTGATGGCAGGGGACTGGACTTGTCGATCTCTCGAGCTCCCTTCCAGTTCTCATATTCTGTGATTCTTTTGTGCTTAGTACGAACGTTAGCATATAGCCATTTAAACAATTAATCCATAAGCCTAATCCAAATGACTATATGCAACCTTCCCACCCCTTGCTGCCTCTGAATCAGAGACAGAAAGACTTAGGGTTGGCAGGTGTCCGGTATTTGCAGCTTCTGTCTGGTAAAAAAAAAAAAAAAAAAAAAAACAGAAAATACTAGACGTAAAACATTAGGGTTTTTTTGCTCAACCAATTTTTTCCCCGCCATGTTTGGTATTTTTTGTGAAACTATCTGGCAACCCTTGCAAGTTGGGGTGGGGTAGCTGGAGCCAGTGCTTGGGGGAAGCTGGCTTAAAAGCTGTCCTCTCCCCAGCACCACGGAGCCGCTTGTTCCACCCACCCTGCACTGCTGCCACTATCAGAGGCTGCAGTGCGGGAAGGGGGGGCGGGATGCCAGCGCAGCCTCCGTCTGTGCAGCGCTCAGGCCCCTTGCTGACAGGGACTGATGTTGCCCCACACTGCTGCCTCTGTATCAGAGAAAGCAGCATGGGGTGGCAGGTGGGAGCCAGTCTGCATGGGGAGCTGATTTTTAAACAGGCTCCTCTCATGGAGAGGCTCCATCTGCCACCCCATGCTACTGCCTCTGATACAGAAGCAACAGCGCAGAGTGGCAGGTGACTCCCTGGGAGTGGAGCCAGGAGCTCACTGGCTGCTGTGGAGAGTATCTTAGAAACCGTGTAACCACTAAAAATGGTTGTAGCTACATGACTACTAAAATACACAATATCAACATCCCTAGTGCTTAGCTGATGCAGGACCTGTAGCACTGCAGCACAGGCAGTGTTTTGGGGGAGAAAATGAATGCAAGAATCAGCAAGGTATCTTCCTCATTCTTCAAAGAAAGAATTTCCAACTGATTTCTGTTTTTTCCTCGGTTTCTCTGACCTCATTTTGCCTTCCTCCCTGCAGAAAAATGTATTCCACTTCTGCATTCCTGGTTTGGTCCCACCCACAGAAAGATACACTGGGCAGCAATAACTAGCAATGCCTCTGCAGACATCCCCAGCGTGGCACCTTGCAGTATCAGCTAGTATCAGGAAACTCACTTTGCTAACTTTATAGTGCTTGGATGCACAAAAAACTTGTCACCGACCCCCATCATATTATCTTGTCTGAGGGAATAACTGATGTACCACAGATACCCGCATGCACATTTCTGCAGATATAGATGTGGATACAAATTTTGTATGTAGAATCCTGCAAATTTGTGACTGTCTACTTTATATACACAAATATCTGCAGACACGGATAGTTTTTGCAGATGCAGATACCACTTTTGTATCTGCACAAGGCTCTAGTGATTTCCTGGTCTGAAAGATTGAGTCCAGGTCACCACTGATTACATACTCAGAGCTGGCACTAGCCCAGTCCATAAAGTAAATACATTTCTCCTCCTTCTGATTAAAAGATTAAATATGTTGCTCTCATGAACATGCAGTGAAAATGCTCAACGGTGCACCTTAGATTCCTAGTTCCAAAGTCCTATTTGTTTAACTTGACTAAAGTATAATAAAGTTTGCTTTGAGATTCATCCATTTTTACAAGTGTAAGTGAACCACACTGACCCAAAGTGCACTACAGAGTCTCAGCTGTGGCCTTTGTTATCACCTATCAAAGAACACATTCATTCAGCTAGCCTGCGTTTAAACATTTGTTTACTGTAAAATGCATTTAAACCCTAGAGGGATAAAACATTTCTCAACTTTTACTGTAAACATTCAAGCTGAGGTGGAATTTCATTGTATTCTGAACAGAAATAAGCATGTGCTGACATTACAAAGTTCACCAGTACAATTCCTTCCCAAGGTAGATGCAATGAAATGTCACGCTTGAATTGTATCAGATATTCAAAGATCAAATTTCAAAACGAATGTCAGGTTTTAAAAAAATGGTATTCAAGACATTCCAACAAGTCTTCTAACCATTTCAATTATTCACAGTAAAGGAATTTTTAAAATTAGTTTTTGCTTCTTGCCATCAATACCGATTGTTTTTCCTTGTTGCATTTCACTATTTGGTCAGTGAGAAAGGATTAATCTGTTTCACCTTCTTGCTTTCATGCAATAGCACAATGCTCCAAAATACAATTTTCAAATACTTCAGGAGAACATGGAATCCGAACAAAAACTGTTTTCATTGGAATTAAAAATATATGGAAACATTTCTACTGAGTCTAGGTTTTGCAAAAACTTGCTTTTAAAACCAAAAAACCCTAAACCACAGGTCAATGCCAACATAACAGGGCGCCTTTGTAAATTCCTCATTGCCCTGGTCACAACCAGTCCTTATACCAAAATATCTACTAACTCTCAGTTTAAGGAAGTTACTTAATGAAGAGGTACAAGCATTTTTAATCAACCTCAAGTCCCAAGTGCAACATTAAATGATTACCTATCAGCCGCATGGGTCATACATAATCGGATACACGTAACAGAACAGCCTGCAGGTGATGTTTGTTTACAGCTTGTGACGGCGCGTTGGGGTCCCCCGTCTCCTGCACCCCAAAATGGCACAAACAGACTGCACCAGCCAGTAGAATTGAGGAAGTTTATTGCCTCTCCAGGATACAGCACAGCACAGATGTAGTCTGGTCACAGAGCTGGGCTAGGATGCCTCAGGCCCCCTTGAGTTGGGGGGAGACTGGGCCCCTAAACTCCAGCTCCTCTCCCTAGGCTGTCTCATCCATCCTCACAGACAGCCACCAACCAACTAACCAACTTCCAGCCCTGCCCCCCAGCCAGGGCAGCATTCCACCTTCCTTTGTTCCTCTCCATGGGGGGTGTCTGGCCCCTGGCTCAACAAGTTTGGCATTACCTCTGCCTAGCGAGGTTTTCCCTGCTGGGTCTTGCTCCAGACAGCAGGGGTCACCACAGCCCAGCAAGTACCCCCACTACGTCACACAGCTATAAACCCACATTGATGTGGCACAAGCTGCAAAAACTTGCAGACTGAGTCCTCTGACACAGAGGGCTTTTTGAGACAGGGGCCTTTTAAAAAGGGAAGCGGGGCAGGCACTATAAGACACTAGCCGCACCTTTCAGCTCTGTGTTGGACAGTTTTGTGGGTGAACCAGTACATAAGACATTAGGAGTATTTTGAGGTCTCAGATTTTACAAACAAAACATTTATCATCAACTGTGCTGCTACACTGCATTGCTCAGGGTTAACTCTGAACTCTTACATTTCCTTGCTTTTGGTGGAAGTCCAAGACCTTCTCTAGCAGGGAAAGCAGCGCTGGTAGACCTAAGGGGTAGTTTTACACAAGACAGGTGTGACTACACTGCCCAAAAGGTGTGTTCTTAACTCAGGTTGCAATACCAGAGAAGCCAATGTAACCCAAGTTCTAACTTGGGCTAGCAACCCACATTCAAGCACATGGGACTGCCAGGGTTGTACTCAAACCACTTGACCACATTGAAAGCAGAGTTGCTATGTTTTCAACTGTTATTTTAACCCAAGTTCTCTCAGCTCAGGTTAGTCCACACTGTTTTTGGTTGTGGAGACATACCTAGGGATTTAATAGTGTACTCAATTAACTGATAAGCAAAAGCGTATAGGTTAATGCTCTAGATTCCACACATTTATCCCCAGCCCCTTGCCAGTAAACTTTTTAGCAGGCTGGCCAGCAGCTCAGCTCAGCTCAGCCTCCAGCTTGCACTGGGTCCGGGACCTAGCCCTACTGCAGCCTACCTCAGTTCTGGCTTGCACTGGGTCCGGGAGCTCAGACCCTGCCACTCCACGCTGATGCTGCTGTCTCAGACGCAGCAGCACAGGGTAGCAGACAGCTGGACTGCGAGAGGAGCTGGTTTTTAAACTGGCTCCCCTCATGGACCAGCTCCCGCCTGGCACCCCACACTGCTGTCTCTGATACAGAGGCAGCAGCGTGAGGTGGCAAGAGGCTCCTTGGGATGGGGCCGGAGCGCACTAGCTGCCAGCCCCACCCCCAGGGACTATAGACTAGTCGACTAACTGATAATTCATGAGGTTAATAGACTATTCAATTAACGGATATTTAACATCCCTAGACATGCCTACAGTTCAACTCATATGAACACACTTATTTCTGTACAAAACTGGCTTTTTTGGTGCTGCTTAAGTCAATTGGGGACAAGTGAACTATGACATTCAGCCCAAAATAAGAATGTTCATTTGGGGGTGGGCATAGTTTAATTGAAACCTGT